ATGTTATCTTTTCGGGCGTTATTAATTACTCATATTTATAAACTTTAGTTTAATATTTTTTTTGTTGGATTTTCCTTGAAGTGTCAAATACATGTTTATACTATTGGTTTATTAGCAATGGAGTGAGGACAAAAAGTCAACAATGGGGAGCACCTTTTTCTTTCATAAATTGTGCAAAACCCCTCGTATTTGACTATTTTATAGTGTTACACTCACGAACTTAGAATGTTTATAATCAAAATGAAAATATTTAGATCGAAATTTTATCAGAAACATTATATTTATATATAAAAAAAACATGTAAGGTCAAAAAGTTTGTCATAGATCAAGATATCGGGTATAAAACATAAATATTCATAATTGAAACATAAGAGTACATATTTTTGTCGAAAGAATAAAAATTCTTGTAAGTTTATAACTAATGTACGTTTTTTTTATGGTTAATTACATCTATAGTCTAACGATCTGCGTCTATATATATATATATATATATATATATATATATATATATATATATATATATATATATATATATATATATATATATTTACAAATCATACATTCCAAATTAAATGCAGTGTCACTGAAATTAAATATTGCAAAAAGAAAAAAAAAAAATCAAAAACCAAGATTAATATCTTGTTATAAAAAAAGATTATAGGATCTTAGAAAAACAATAATATCAAGAAATAAATAGTATCCCATCCTACGTAAATTACTTTGCCAAGGATTTATATTTTATACAATTCAGAATTGACGTGCTTTCAGGTTGGCGGCCACCTTCATCCTTTGTTCAACACTCTGCTGCTGCTGCTCAATTTGGCTTGCTGAATCATATTATAACATTTATGTGAATTGTGAAACACTGATTTATGAGTATATCTATTATAAATTGATAGATATATTTTAGGTTAGCATATTTGTGACGTTATTACTTTTTTTAGATTATGTTAATTTGGGGGATTATAAAATCAGGTCCGTAAATGTAATCAACTAAAATGTTAAGGAAAGTCATATAAGTTGGCACGTGAATAGGTGAGGAAAACGATTTAGTGATTGACGATATGCCCTTTTGTTGTGCAGATAAACCATGTCTCACGTTTTATAAATCTTGGCTAATTGTTAATTCATTTATTTATGAGAAACGACAAAAACTAACCAAATTACCTAATTATTTTTCACTTAATAGTCAAAAGTTAGGTGCTGTTTGTTTTTTTTAAGCCAAAATGTCTGCAGTCTGCGGACCACATCTGCAAGCCTCTGCGGCAGAAGAGGTGGACCAAATGTCTGCAGTCTGCAATAAGAAGACTGTTTGTTTTTAACGTCTGCAGCTATTGAAATAAATTAATTTTTCAAACTTAATTTCATGTCATAACGATTAAAAATGCATTTTCAGCAAAAAGAGAAAGAAAAAAAAAATGGGTGGTGTTTTTTTTTGGTTAAAATGAGGTCTGAAGACCTTTGAAGACAGTGGCTCATGTCTGCGCCAGGAAGACCTCGCGCAGATGTTTTTTGGTCTGCGCACTTCCAAAAAACAAACACTCTGCGAGGGCATATGTCTGCGCGTTGTCTGCGCGGCGCAGACAAAAGTGGTTGCGCAGCTCTTCACAAGAAAAACAAACAACCCCTTAGTCTTTAGCTAAAATTAGCCAATGAAAGAGTAGACAACTAAGAAAACCTACGGTTTTGTCATAACCGGATTAAATGAGCTACGGTTTGTGTGCAATGGACTACTGTTTCGAAGTTCATCTACTGTTTGAGGGTACATTAGCTGAGAATATATAAAGTTGAAAATTTTCATTTAGGTCATTTTTGAGTGTTTGAAAATAGAGAAACGCTCTCAATGGCGGCTCCAAACAACAACCCGGTATTTCTCGTAATCTTCGTCTTTTTTATGTCGTTTACTATGAAATCTATTAGTATTGAGTTTTGCAAAAAACTAAAATGCAAACTGTAGGTGCGGTATGCCACCTATGGTATACACGTTGATACAAATGTGCAAACAGTGTACACCGTAGGTGGCATAGTGCACCGCATTTTTTTTCTAACTTGTATATTGATTTAGTTGTATGTAAATGATATTTTGGTTGATTCTATAGTTTGATTAAAAATACTTGAATGTCAAGAATGAAATAATAGTTTTTTTAAGGAAACAATAGTTTATTGAACCCTCACCTCCTGTTTTGTTCTTCAAGTTCATACGGACACGAACCATATTTTCTACATAGCATACTGGAGGTGAGTCAATCACCTACGGTTTTGGTAAAAAAATGGTTTTTTTTTTTTTTTTTAATTTTTTTTTTTTTTTAATTTTTTAATTTTTTATATTAGACAACGAAACCGTAGACCGGTAGACGGTAGACCATCCTTGAAAAAGTAGATGATTTTGCTCAACTACGGTTTCCTTGACTATTTTTGGCTAATTGTAAATATTTGACTATTAAGTGAAAAATCATTAGTTGATTCGACTAGATTAGTCATTCCCTCTTTATTTATTTCTTACTTAAATTGGTAGCTTAATTAAAAGATTCAATGATGTAAAATATAAAGACATAATTGATAATACAACGTAATGATAAAGTATATAAAAATTTTAAGCATGAAACATCACGAGATAAAGCTAATTAATTGTAAAATTTATAACACTCTAATTTTCTAATATCGATTAAATGACAAATAATCGTTCCAACATCTCTCATGAATAACTTTAACTTACTTATAGACTAAACTACAGCGGAAACAAAATAAAATAAAATAAAATCTTCAATTGAACAACTTTGGGTGTTACGTCTTTGCGGAACTCATTTGTTGTGTTGTTGATAAATCCTTCTCCTTGACCTTCCTACTTCCACTTGCTAAATAGTTTGCTGGATTGTGCACATTTAAAGTTTGTAAATGGGTAAGCCTATGGTTTAGTGAGTTCGTGTTGAACATACATGTCCATCACTTAAAAAAACATATAGTTTTATCACATATCTTCAATAAATCATACAACAAATATATCACCCGATGAGATAATTTAGGGGAATGATTAATTATCCAGAGAAAGAACCAAATGTTCATTTCCCTTCTCCTTGAGACAACTCATCATCCTTTTTAACTATCCAAGGAAATAAGTATAAATCTCAATTCTCATCTCTACCGATCACACACATCCATCATGTTCATTACGATTAAACACACCACTCGTTCCCACTAAACATGTCACCCAAAAAAACACACACAGTAGACAACAAATCAAAAATAACATTTGCATACAACCATACTTATCATAAAACATACTATGAATAAATTATTGAAAAGCCGCATATAACCCACATGATAAACATTTATGTGCGAGCAACTACAGACTACGAAAAACTCACATCGTAACCGATAAGTTCTAACCGAAGCTTTGTTGTTAACCTGCATCATATATTCCACCAACAAATTTTTCTAAGGCAACATTCTAGAAAACATCCTATGAGTTCATTTTGGTTCAACCATCCACGTGTCTCATTCGACCAACTAATAATCATTCAATTACGTTAATTGCAAAATTTGTAATAATATTATATAATATATATATATATATATATATATATATATATATATATATATATATATATATATATATATTAAATCTCCATATTGATAAGATTTTACCTTCATAAACTAATACTCAAATGTTAAAACAAGTAAATCACAAAATAACAATAATTAAAAATACTATTAATTAGAAAATTTGAAAACAGTAAGGACCGTTTATGTAGTTTATGTTTCCACGTTTAAAAGAAAACATGAGTTTAGTTTAGGAAAAATGGAAACTGTCAAATCATATAAACTATAGGGATCACTTTCGCAACTTTTAATATCATATGAAATTTGTAGAAAATTAAAATCAGCAACTTATTAAAAAGATAGAGACTACTTGTATAAATACCACTTTAATTAAAAGAAAATGAGATGAGTTTGTAAGTGGCATTTGAAAAAGAAAAAGTAAGTGATGCATTGTGCCCGACCTATCAAACTATAGACCTTGGTACTGCCACCATCATCGACAAAGGAGACTACTAATTTTCTTTTATTTTTAAAGCTGCACGGTTTCTTTTACCAAAACTTAACACTTGTGTTTCATCAAATTCGGTTATTCCTTGGCCGAAGAGAGACATATGATGAAACCAAAATACGTAATAGGTTCATACTAAAACAACTTAATCAAGCTCAAATCAAAAAGACATACCTTAATTTCTAAAATAGCTCCGAAAACCTTCCCGAACTTCAAACCCCTATTTCTGTTTTGTTTCTCAAACATTGCTTGCAATTTTTGTGGGCATTCCACTCTATTTCTCGTGTCTTTTATAATACCCAAGTTTGTAACCTTTATAGTTAACTCAAAAGTCCAAATTTATGTCTCTAATCAAAGTGATGAGTTTTGGTATTAAAATTCTATAATTTCTCTATTTACTCCTAATTAATTCCTTAATCATAATTATAACAATACATTTAGACCATATATTTATATATTTATTTTAATTTGAGTTTACACAAAATTAAAATGCAATTTGATTTATAAGTTAACATATTTTTATCATTATAAGATATCAAATATCATTGTCAAAAAATTGAGGCAATTAAGGTCCCATCAAACCTAGCATGATTTCACATATTTTTGCTATCATATTTAAAAGTATACATAATACTAGTGAGATGCAACAAAAATACAAAATAGACGGGTTAAAGGTTATATTTTGTGTGCTACAAGTAGTTGATATATTAGTTTAATTTTTGAATTTTTTTTAAGTTGTTAAGTTTAACAAGTAAAAAAGTAGAGTACTTAGATTAGTTTTTTAGAAAGTTTTAATTTTTTTTACAAATATATCTTTAATTAATTATGAAAAACATATTCACCAATAAATATGTAATTTTTTTTATTATGATTGGTTTGACTGACAGCAGAAATTTGACCCGATTAATTCTTTTGACAAGCTTCATTTTTTAATCAAGTTATTTTTCGTGTACTCAAAGGAAACATAACACAAATGAGTGAGAAATTGTCATCCATAATTTATGTGTGACGACACTATCTACAATATATATAAAATAAAGAGACATGTTTACATTAATATGGCTAATAATATGTTTTCCTAATTTAAACATACAACAGAAATTAGAAATGCAATTAGAATCCCTAATTTACATCACATAATTGAGATTCTGCATCTTCCACTCACCAACTCCTGTACTAACCAAAAGGAAAATTAATATTAACAAACTATATTTTTCAGTAATCAAATTCATTTTCATAAGACAAGTCCTCTCATTTATATGACACAATAACTAAATTCTACACAAAATTGAGACCTTCTTTTGCATATTATCAAAGTACAAGTTTCATTGCATCAGATACAAGTCATTTCCAAAAGTAAATTTTAAGAAAGGAGAATCTAACCTTTAGGATCTTTGAGTTAATTCCTTTATTTTTTTTAAAAGTAAAATGGTTGAGTTCCTGCTACATTAAGCTCCATTTGTGTCAAGAAATCTTGATAATAAAAGTTGCTTCCCTCTAACTAAGAGTGCAAAGATGCCATAAGCAGGGAGATGAATCAATCCCACTCCTAAATACCTGCAAAAATAAATATATATATGTAGTAAATAGTATGTAGAAAGCCTGTTAAATCAAATTTATAATCATCAAAGATGTTTAACAAAATGTAAATTCAGATAGGAAGATACCAAATGGGAGCATATGGAGATGATAAATCAAGAAAGGAATATGGCCACCTGCAATAAGAACATCATGTAAATATATAAATAAAAACATACATAGACCAAAGGGTTGGTTTTCACCATTTTTTATATATATGAAGAAACTAATATTTACACAAATCATTTTAAATATATAAAATAAAGATCTGGGCTTACCACATTGATACACAAGCATGAACAATCCATTGGAAAATGACAAATATACATGTCCATAGACCAAAATAGGCCAAACGAAAGAAAGGGAATCGCTGATTTAAAAAAAAATAAAAAATAAATCAAGTTAGTAAAGTCAGAAGTATAAAATTGAAGAACACAGTAAATGGGAAACATGAAACTTACTAAACGATTGAGAATCATGTCAATAATGAGGAGAATGGCATTGAGAGAATGCATGCTAACATCCAACTGAAATGGACATAAATACCCCTCAAAAATCCATGTTTTTATCTCGTTTTATATATAAGCTCATAGAACATGAAAGACTTACTAAAGTTAAACTGTACCCTGTAGGGGTAAGAAACGGATAGATGATGAACCAAAAGACACTATCAGTGAGTCCAACAGCTCCTGCACATATCTGTTTATTAAGGGAGAAGGTGAGGAAGGGTATTAATGGAAATAACACAAATTGAAGCTTTATTTTTTTTGAAAAACTTGCCTGGAAGAGTATTTGAAAGAAATATCCACATATACCAGCAGTCTTTCTATCATGAGTTTCTTTGTGATTGTTGTTAGGGTTTATGGGGATTCTGTGGGAGCTTAATCCCTCTGAGGGAGCAATGTAAGTGCCTCTTTCTGTGTCTAAAACATGATTGTTATTATCATCATCAACTTCATTCCAATATTTATAACATCCATGAATGGAAAGTGAAGATCCAAGCTACATTATATTTAGAAATAAAGATTCAGCATCAAAGGAAACTTTTATAGTTATAGATATAATTAGCAAGAATTTCATACCCCAAAATATACAGTCACCAAAGTAAATGTCCACCTGTTTGTTTATCAGAAACACCACAAAAGGGAATATGTTAGAAAATATAATAACTAAATGGTTTGTGTATTAATTATGAAACATAAAAGGATTGTAATTTGTAACAACTTACTGAGTGTAAAAGAAAAGTACATCAGGTCCAGCAGTTATCAGATTAGCAATAAGAAGTGCTGACATGACACCAAATGCAATTAATCTGTAAACAAGCAGCCAAACAGGATGGAGTGCTTTCAAAGAGGTCTTCCAAGTTTCATCTTCATACAAGATCCCAATTGGTTCCACATCATGTTCATCTTCTTTTCTGTGACTTGTTCTTTTGTTGAAGACTTCATATTTAATAATTAAAATTGCTGCTGCTATCATAGCAATGATGACCCATAATGCACACAGGAAGAATCTCCAGTTGAACCAGTAACTTAGGGTTGTTGTGTCATCAGCCATTGCCAGACCTAGCTAACTTACAGCTCCTATTTGAAGTTCAATATCAAAATTCAGTACACTTTATGAGATTATAATGTAGTTTGTTAAATGATCTTTAGAGAATGAACACAAAATTCAAGTTAATTCCCATGGAGCTCCTAATTGTTGTAAGTTGTGATGATTACACCAAAATTTATACAGAGTCTCACACTGTTTCAAAAATTACAGAAAACAAAACCAGCACTACGATTTTTAGAGATAAATTTAGCGTTTTACGAAATTGATATATAATTTGTCATAAATTTATAGCTCTATCTTAGTAACTATTGCTGATTGCATGCGTCAAAGCTGTAGGAATAATCATATCAGTTTTACTTTGATATTTGAGATCAAAAGGTTAAAGTGTACTGTTCTGCTTCAAATTTTGGAATAAAAACATGTAATATCGATAGAGTAACAGGCATAAACACAGAGTGCAGGTTTGTGACGTTAAAGAACAACGCCATGAAAGGAACAAAAAAAAAATATGATTAGAAAATATGAAGCTGAAACATTGAGAAATAGCAGAGAGGTTAGTTGTGGAATTACCTGTGATAATTGATGATTATCAGAGTTCCAAACAGAAAGATTTAGGGTTTGAGAAATTGAGAGAGAACCGCCATTAAGAAAGCAAGTAGAATTGAGTAAAGGAACACCAACCGCAACCGCAACCTACTACGGCCAATCAAGGTCAACATCTTCACTGTGTACTATATTCATTTCGATCTATGGTCACTTTTGCTCATACGTTGTAATTCTATTTTCTACAACATATTTAATATAATAAACTTCTTATTTTAATAATTTAATATAATAAATTTATTATGTATATATAATATATAATAGATTATAATTATGTCTTTCACTTTCGCTTATATAATCTCTATCTTTTTAGTTAACTCTATTTCTTATCATTTTTGGTATAAAAGTACGAAAGAATCGAAGTGAATTCATCAATTACGATTATGATTATTAAATAATAATAATAATAATAATAATAATAATAATAATAATAATAATAATAATAATAATAATAATGTATGTTTTTTTTAGATTTAGATAATGACATAAACTATTTCATATATATGCTAAATCATTGTCTTTATAGAAAAGATGTTACATTCAAGGCATTTTGTTTAACCAATAACATTTACATAAATATATTTAATATAGTATCATTTAAGGGATAACGCCATTAATTAAAAATGTACCTTTTCATTTATCTCCCCTCCTTCACTAAATTTTGTTTGGTCCATAGGTCACCAGATGTGTTCACATGGAATTTATATGACAAAGACACATCAATATTTTCCTTTTGTGTATATTTCAATTAGATTTTGGTATAACACTTAAATTACTATTAATTTAATTAAATTTCTCTCTCATATGGTTTCCCCAAATATACAATTTCATTCATCCAAAAGAAACTCTGAGGAATTGGCACATCAATGCATTGATATATACGTATAGAAAAAGAAGTATTTGTTAAGTCGCACATTATATATCCCTGCAGTTGAAAGCTTAATTACATAAACAAAACGGTTAAAAATCTTTTTTTCTATATTTATTTTATAAACAATGAAAATAGCAAAATCCAGTTACAATACTATTTATTTTGGACATAAAATCCAATTGCATTTTTGATTGCCCTTAATAAAAGTCATTCATTTTTACAACCACCGAAATCAATTGATTGAATTCCGAAACTATATATATACAGCAGAATCGGAATCGGAATCAGAATCACTCTAATCTGTAACTCCCATTTGGCCTCCATTCATCACTGTCCCTCAGCTGTTCTGCTAAGAAATCAACTGGCAATGATCCTGGAGGAGCCGACTTCTGACTGACATCACCATATTCATCATCAGAATCTTCATCAAAGTAACTCTCATCTTCACTGTAATCCTCCTCTTCAAAATCTTCATTTGACACGATTTCTGCAGGATATGAATGCTCTGCCACCTGTGAAACTGTCTCAAACTCCTCCACCACTTTCAACAGATCATCGGGTCCCACCCCAATATCTTCCAGCAACATCGCCTTGTTTGACTCAATAGCTCGTCTCCATAACAATGTCATTTTTGGGCTTGAAATAGATGATACTGTCTTTGACTTGTATAAGTCAATTTCAGTGTTGTTTTCTGATATAGGTGCACCATGGTACATAGATTTCCAAGCATGGCCTCTCCAAATCAAGATTTGTTCATCATCAAAAGATAGCAGCACACAAGGAACTAATTCCTAGAGAAAAGAAAACATCGTTCATCATCAATAGATTATATGACTTTTTTTTTTTTTTTCTGACTTAATACAGAGAGAACAACTTAATAGAGAAAGTCAGGATAAAACCTTTAACTTAGCACCAAGCTTTTTGTAATCACTTGCATGCATCCCTGTACAGTCAATCTTCACCAATGCAGACTCTTCAAAAGCTTGTCTCACATCTTTTACTAGATTAAGGTACACTCCATTTTTAGCTGAAAAGAATAAAGAAATTCAGACTATGAAGTGAAAATTGAGCATCGATAATCTATAATGAGCAGATATGTAATGAAGTTACCTAGTTTACAAATTGGGGGAAGTTTTTTCCCTTTTATTCTCAACTCATCGGCTTCTTCTTTAGTCAAACCTTCAGGTGCTTCTTGTATGAGTTTAGGGTAAACTGGGGTTGCAGGTTTCCATAGCATCAGAGGATATTGTGGACGAGTGTTATGATCATAGTGCCTACCACGGAAAAGATAAAGCACACCACCAGTTTTAAGAATAATTTTACCACCAGTCTTCTCCTGTTGTTTGAACTAATCTTTAGCACTAGCACATGAAAAATGAAAATCCCAAGATTGATTACTTAGATAGTTAGATTGAATTAAAGAACCTGAAGAACTCGACAAACATTTCTCATGTCAACAGTGGGAACTCCAAGGCATCGGACTTTACAGACAGGATCTCTCCTCCAGTGGGAATGTATCAGTTCCAGCATATTATGCGTCAATCCATCCCTTCCTGCAAGATCCAATTTATGAGTTAAAACCATTTCTGTTCCACTAGTGAATTGTAATCGCGATTATATGCAATTTGTAGGTTGTTTATATGTGCATCTTACCAAGATTGACCTGGCGATTACTAGAAATGTGAAGTTTAACAAGCTCTAGTCTCTCTGCTCTACTTAGTGGCTTCCCAAGCACTTCCTCCCTCGGCTTCACCTCAAAATTCCCAAGCTCATACGGTTTCAACATCTCCAGTTGCTTGGAATTGGAATTGTTACCCGGATTCAATGACTCGAAAAGCTTGATTTTCCTGGTTGATTTCTTCAATGGCGCCTTACCAGTCCAAGGCCTTGGCATAGTGGGCGGCGCGAATGGCAGAAAGGCTGGCTCACGAATGGCAATTGGCTTGGCTCGGGGAATTTCGGAGTAACTGTACTGAAATTCAAATGGGGCACCGGGGAGCTGGTAGGATACACCGGATTCACCTACGACGACGGAACGGTCTCCGTCGGAGGAAACAACTTCACCATCTCTAACAGGTTTGTAGTATTTGGAGCGGCGGTGGAAGGTTTTGAAGGCGGGGTTTGATTGGGGTTTTGGTGGTGGTGGTTTTTGGGCTTTGCGGACTGGTGGATATTTGGGAATCGGGATTGGGGGTTTGATGGTGTTCGGAGATGGGGATGGGGGTGGGGGTGTGGGGAGGGAGGAGAAGAGATTTGGGTTTGGGAGAGATGCTAAAATCGCCATTTTCGATTACAGATAGAGATATTCACAGAGGTTCCTTCACTTGCAGATGAAAAAAATAGACAAGGGAGACTAACCCGTACCATATCTTCATACTCATGATACGACGTCGTTCGTGTTGGGATACATTCAGTCATCAGTTCAGACGAAGAGATAAACCGGCAAATCAAAACGGTCGATCATGAACAATTTGCATTTGGATGAAGACAAACCGGGGAAATTTTGGAGATATCTTGAAGGGATGATACGACGTCATTCCTTTGTTATTTAATTTTGGGAAACTTTAAATAAATCACTATATCTCTGTGTATATATACCGAAAGATATTTAATTTTGGGAATCTTTAAATAAATCACTATATCTCTGTGTATATATACGGAAAGAATGTCGTAAAAGCCCTTAAATTTTTTTTTTTTTTAATAAATTATGAGTTTTATCCTTTGATGTTTCTTGGGTTCATTAAAGCCCGATATTTGATATAGTTTTTGCATTTATGCCGTTTTAAAGGTTTCCCAGTCAACTGGAGGCTAAGCAGTTATCAAGGTCCAAATTTCAATAGCGGTCATATTCCGCTATTTGAAATCGCGGTTATCGCGGTGGTATGATAGTGATATAGCGGTTTTTTAATATTATGTATATAATTTATATTATATATTTATACAAAATTTATATATTAGATTATTAATACTATACGTAATTAATATCATAAAAATCATATAAAAACATAACGTAATCTATATATAATATTCTTTCTAATATAGTTATATGAAAACTAAAAAGTATCAAAATATCATTACAGCTTAAGTCGTTTGTGGTTTCTAAGTACTGAAACGGACAGAAAAGGAAGTTGTTATTTGTTGATTTGTAATTTGTAATTAATTATATTTATTATTTGGACTTATTAAGACAAAAAGTGTAGTGGACTAGTTAAAAAAAATAAAGATTTAATATTGAAATAACATACAATCGTTTTTTTCTTTGTTAAAGTAGTCAAATATGTATGCAATTGTAAAAGCGGGTGTAGTGTTGCTATAGCGCTGATGGGTTTCGCGGTAAATAGCGGTCGATAGCGCCGCTAATAGCGTTACTGCTATTTATAAACGCTATTTCAAAATAGCGGTTTAATAACACCTCAAAGCGCTATAGTACGCTATTGATAGCATAGACTGCAGGTCACGCACAAGCTATCTAACTCACTGAAGTTGAAACCATTGAATCAATCACCATGTTTTATTTTTGATTCAAATAACCATCGTTTTCTGCCAACTTCATTCGAATAGAAACTCCTCTTTGATTTTTTCCTTTGTGGCTACGACTGTTGAGGAACAAATCACACAAACACATATATACACAGATACCATGTGCATGTATATGTGGGTTTTGCTAGCAATAAAACACACTCTTTTAATTTTTCTAATGATCTTGGCTCTTTTGTTGTAAAACTCGATAAACACAAACATACCTGCAAATTACTACGTTTCGGAAATGATTGTGTGTATATGTGGGTGTTACCGTTCATCGTCTTCTCTAATACCTACATAAACAACCCCTATTCACCTCCATTTTCTCCACCCAACACCCATCAAAATCTTTCTTCTTCCCCTTTCTTCTAATCACAACCATCAAGAATACCATTAAATCCTTTCTTCCTACTCCTTTCTCCAAAGTTTTTGCGATGTCTTCAATAATCTGTCCTTTCGTCCTACTCCTTTCTCCTTAATTATAAGAGTTAAGAATATTAAATATTAATCCTGTATAAATAACAATATAATGATAAATTCTGTTTTTTTAATGGTATTTCCAGTAAAAAAAGTAATTTGGAAGTAAAAAAAATAGGTAATTATGATGGGATTAAAAATGTAATGAGATGTCAATTTTTTTTATAAAGTTTTTTGGGCTAAATCAGTATATTGCAGATAGTAGAAGTTCCAAAACAATATACATTCCACTATACAAAAGAGAAAGCACATTAAAAAAAACAGTTTTATGTTCAAATCGACCAAAATGGGCCTTAAATAGTCTAAGTACGAGTCAACGATTTCAACCTCAAGAGCCCAAATTGAAGAGTAGGGCTTTCTTTTTCACGACGATGGCCCTCAAATGCCCAATTTGATTTTTTTTTTTGCTTCCTACAAAACCATCTTCCAACCCTAATCAAGCCGTATCAGTACAATTCGGCAAAAATGCAGATCTTCGTGAAAACCCTAACGGGGAAGACGATTACGTTGGAAGTTGAATCCTCCGACACAATCGACAATGTGAAGGCGAAGATCCAAGACAAGGAAGGTATCCCACCGGACCAGCAGCGTCTTATTTTCGCCGGGAAACAACTTGAGGACGGCAGAACCCTTGCCGACTACAACATCCAGAAGGAGTCAACCCTCCACCTGGTTCTCCGTCTCCGTGGTGGCGCAAAGAAGCGCAAGAAGAAGACCTACACCAAGCCGAAGAAGATCAAGCATAAGCACAAGAAGGTTAAGTTGAGCGTGTTGCAGTTCTACAAGGTTGATGATTCCGGAAAGGTGCAGAGGTTGAGGAAAGAGTGTCCTAATGCTGAGTGTGGTGCTGGGACTTTCATGGCTAACCACTTCGATAGGCACTATTGCGGCAAGTGTGGTCTCACTTACGTCTACCAGAAGGAGAAGGCTTGATTAGATAAGTGTTCATCGTCGTTTTTTGAGTTATGAATTATAATTCTGAGTTTTCTTGTTATATCTTGTGGTAAACCTGGATTTCTATGGTTGTTTTTGAATTGATGAAACTGAATGCTTTTGTTTATCAACATTTCAAACTATCTAAACTGTTTTACAACGATATGTTTACTACTTAGCTACTCCTGTAGGTGTCGTGATTATGTTTAAAACTTATTGTTATTCTGAATTTTTAGGTTTTCTTGATTGGAGCTAATTGATAAATGCTTATGAAACATGTTTAGACGATATCCTCGATCAGAATAATCCAGCCTTGCTAACCAAAACCGACCTTTGCAATATTAGTTTTCCAAACAACTTCTCGATGTTCTTTGTTTTTTTTTCAGCAATCCCTCTCATTGCTTCTGGCATCATCAGATATTGATATATAGAATATTTTTATGTATAGAATTCCTTGGACCATTGACATAGGATTATCTTACCAATCAATTAGAAATTTTCTAATAAATAAATCAAGAGCTCAAATATAACAAAGGATCCCAACTAAAATCATTGTCTACCAACCAATCTGTTGTGACCATAAATAAACATGTATGAATCCATGACATCTAACACACGACCTCTACTTCCCATGTGATGTACATAATACATACAAAAATCAAGTGTCATGCATGAACCTATTACATATAAAACAAGTTTTTAAGTATATCCTTGCAACACCAGTGAAACTTTAGAAAAAAGTCATAAGTATCATGCAACGTGAGCATGTATTATGCTATTATTGTTTTAATGGGAGACTCAAATGCCACTTTAGGGTTTCGATTTAGTTATAGTAGTTATGAACAAAGCAATTGAAACATGACCTACGCAAAATAACCATCCATCTTGAATTGATAAACCATGCGATCATATGCATTTAGGTGCTTTTTGGTTGATAAGTGTTGAATGTCCATGTATAGCGATGGATAAGGAGCCAAAACAACCTCCTTTTGTTGGTATCACACACATGCAAAACTTTAGTACTATGAACAAGTGTTTGCTAGCTCGTAGAACACTCAAGCTCACAATATGAATATGATGTCTAGTTCCTCACAAACCCCTATCATAACCCTTTATAGTGCTTCAAATTTAATGCACACAAGTTGGGCAAAGTTGTACTTAAAAAGCTAAACATTAAGGCTAACTATATGCTTAGGGTGTGAACCCTTTTGATGCATGGGTTGGTATGGTCTGGACGTTTTTAGTCCACAACAATTAGTCTTTTAGCGGTACTTCCACACATGAAGTCTACATATCGTCCTTAAAATCAATCCTATCATTCATTACTCGCCTAGTTGTGCGACCCAATGGACTTTCCAATTGACGTTGACATAGTGTCGACTTGTATCCATTCAATCAGCCTATATACATTGCCTATACATTTATGCATATCCACAATATCTATCCATCCGATAAATGTATACAATGTGTTTAATCAGTCCATTCGATAGATTAGTCAATCAACTCCTTCCACTCGATCCATCTATCTGATTTATCCATACGATGCATTTAATTGTTATTTTATCACTAATATGTCAAATTAATCCATCCAATCCTCCCTCCAAGTCAATCAATATCCGTCCATCTGATTTACTCATTTATCCATTATACTCATCCATTCCATCAAATCTTATCCGATTATTTGATCAATCCAATCGGTAATCATCTGGTCCATTTGTCTATTTAATCCATCCACGACCAATTGAACCGATCCATCCATTTGATTCAATCATTTCATTTGATTAGTCCTTATTAATCCACCATGCCATATATATATGATCTATGTTTTTTTACTCAATCGATCCATCTATCTAATCCATCATTTAGTCAGTATGTTCAATCCACCCATCTGATTAATCAGTAGTACATCTCATTGATCTATCCATCTTATCCATCCGATTAATTCATCATTTCGACCCATTGATCATTTAATCTATTGATATATCCATTCGATATATATATATATATATATATATATATATATATATATATATATATATATATATATATATATATATATATATATATATATATATATATATATAATACGAAAAAAAAAATTATTAAGTTACACTTATAAAAATAAAAAGCAAAGGAAATATTATATAGTCATTATACTTAATAAAATCTAATGCCATTAAATATATAATAGAAATAGTTAATTACTAAAGAATTAAGAATATTTAAAACTTTAATATTACTAGGGACAAGCATGCAGGGATGGCAAAAGAAACCGAACCCGATGGTGAAAACCGAAAACCGACATATTAGGGTCGGGTTTGGGGTCGGTTAATTGGGATCGGGATCGGGTTTGGTATGCTTTTAGAAAAATTTCGCGGGTTTGGTTACGGGGACGGTAAACAAAATACCCGTCCCGATTACCCGAAACCAAAACCGAAACCGAAACCCGTTACCTGAAACCGTTATATATATATATATATATATATATATATATATATATATATATATATATATATATATATATATATATATTAATTTCTTTGAGTTATCTTTTTTGTTGTGAACGATTTAAAGATAATTTCTTGAGATAGCTTTGTGTTTATTTGTAATGTTAGTGTTTTGACA